GCACTCCTGGAACTTTGCGTATTCTTCTTTTTAAATCTCTGTCACATGTGGCTACAATGTAACACTTGTGCTGCAATAAACAGCATAGTTAAGTTTTACTTGGAATAGGCCATTTTAAAGTTGTTTGCTCATTGGCCTTGCCTTTGACTAGAAGTAAGGCTAGCTGGTGGCAAACTGCTTTGTTACAAACCTTCCTGCCTTTCATTTGCAAATTATTGTGTTATTCTTATGCCAACAAGCCTATGAACATGAGTCATTTTTATGTGAGCTACTGTGGCCAAATTCAAAGTTTAGCTTTTCACTGTTGTCAAAAGTAGCCGGCTGCCGGTGAAAGTTGCCTCATACTTGGTTAGTGTCGGCCAGCCACTCTGCTTAGAATTTCTTTACACATGGTGTTTTTTAAATAAAATATCCCCAGACAAGCTGCTTACTTTGACAACTCAGCCATCTACTTTAAAACTTTCTGACAACCCTGCTTTTACTTCATCATGTCAAGAAAAAGTCAGACTCCCTTGCAGCTGTTTTTGTCTTCTCACACAATGCTCCTCCTGATGGGGAGGAGCACTGAATAACATGACATAAATGAGTCCTAGAAAGACTAGTCAAGAAAGGAATGCATCTCATCCTAACCCACCATTACTCAAAGGCAGACCTAAAAGCTGTACACTTAGCATACAAATGTTTATCTAGCTAGTAAGATTCCTAGCCAAGAAAAATTTAAGATAACACTGTAAAAAGATTGAAAAATCCCCCTCATTTTTAATATTAGTTAAGAAAAAAAAATGATCAAAGGGGCAAACAATGCACTCTCTACCAGTGATCCTTCAATACACTGTCAATGTACATGTAGGCATCTGAGGATCTAAATAGGCCCACCAATAAAATAATAATGCTGTGAATTATAATCAATTTACCTGCTGTATTCTGTTAACTATACAATCATCAGCATATGTTCCTTTATGCATGCATGGCAGACGATCAAAAGAGGGATCTTTAGCCATTCTAGTTGAAAAAAAAAAAGAAAAGTTCAGGACTCAGTATAATGTGTCTGTATCACCTTGTATTGTTTTAAAAAATTGCCATTTTAACCCCAGCCCCAAGTGGCTTAAGTTATCAAGTGAACACGTAAAGACTCATTCTTCATAATCCATCCACTAAACTACCCATGGAGTGGGGAAGTGCTTATTATACTTTGAAGTCTCATGTTCAAAAAGCCACAAAGAAGATAGGTGAAGGTGAGTTTGGGGTCCTTACCAGCTACACATTTCTTGTAGCCTGTTCACAGACCCTCTATTTTCTCTTCAAAGTCCATCGAGCGTTTGTGATCAAAATAATATAAACCGCAGGGGATTTATCGACCGCCGGCACAAGGGGGTAGTAGATGTCTGTAGATGTCTTCAGATGTTCTTTATTTTTCTTTCTCGCGCCTAGCGCTCGAAAAGAACAAAAATAAAATAAAACAACGTCTGTGTACAGGCTACATTTCTTGTAACATAGCAAGGAAGTTATCTTCATGACAATATTTCAAAGAAAAGTGAAACTGAGTCACAGTAGTAAATTGCCTGTAAGCTCCACAATCCTTTGACCAGAGGCTTACAGTTTTTAGACATGCAGACTGGTCAAATAAACCACTTTCTAAGAGAATAACTTTTAAAGTGAATTTACCAAAACATTTATTAGCTGACCTGTCAGCAAGCTGCTGATTTAAAAACAGCAAAACTACATGCACCCATAAAGATATACTTGTATCTCTATTATAACTCATTGAAATGACACTTATTCCTCATAGAGTATCAGAGGGTTCCCCAACAGGAATGTCCCAATCTTCATTCCTAGGTTCAAACCAGCCTTGGTTTTTTCATCTCTTACATTACTACATGAGAAATTTCTCCAATCTGATTGGCTTAGAGCAGTGGTATTTCAGCTTAATTTGAAATACCTACATGCGAAAATTACAAACCTTTTGTGGGTAGCAGTATAAAGAAATAATAGCATGATTTGTATGTGATATTTGGCAAAAATACCACTTGTGATATTTCAAAATTGTCTTAAATTTCACCTGCCTAACGGCTCATGAAATTATGTATAATAATTTTGAAATATCACTTGTCATATTTATGCCAAATATCACTACAAATCATGCTATTACCTATACTAATCTTCTGATGAATCTTGACCTTATTAATGTGATTGTGTATGTGATTGTGTTTGTGTGATTCTGATTCTGATTCTGTCTTAGTGCAGACTTGGGAAAGGAATGCCCATGATGACATGCAGCCTCATTTCAACTGTTCTCAAGGTCAAGGTCACTTTGTAACCTTGGCCTTCTCTCCTGAGACATAGGTGATCTCAGTGTAACAAAACCTCTAATCAGGGTATAATAATATTAATTTATACCTGAGAGCCACTCTATACTTTGATCCAAGTTTTTCTAATTCGGCCATCACACAGTCGGTAATGCAAGGAATACCTAAAAAATAATTTCACAAACTGGTTTTTAAGCAAGAATTTTATTCCACCATTTTGGCCCTGTAACCCAAATGCATTGATTGTAAATAATGACACCTTCCACCCTTTACTTCCAGAGTGACAAAATAACAACACAGCTTGTACATGTACATGCACATAATTGTGTTGGGCACAAGTTAGTATACATGAAAACTTGGAGTATCCTCCAAGTATCAAAGGAACGAAGGCAGTTCAGTTATGCAAGGGAATCACTGAATCTCATAACCCAGTGCAAATCATCATAACTGCTACTAAACTAACACAACACAAACCCACACAACTAGTCAAACATCTCGTTGTCATATTGACACTTTGTTACTGTATGTGTATGATCTATGTTGTGGTTCAGTTTTATGCTTGGTTTAAATTTCATTTCCTTCTGTTTTAAAGTCTAAAACAAACGGAAAAAATTATACCAAGGTTGAAACTGAACCACATCATATAGACTGAAAACAAAAATCAACAACCAAGAGATTACTAGTCTTACATTTTGCATATAAGCAATCCATCATAGACTTGACAATGTCCAACTTATTCTTGATTGAGAAGTTGATAAAATTGGTATCAACCAAAACATAGAATGGAGGCCCAAGCTGAGTGTTATATTGAAAGAATAGTGCAGATGATGACTGTTCTCTATATAAAAGGGGGAAAAAAGGAACATTAGATTATTGTCATAGGTTTTCTTTCTATTTATTAATACTATATATTAAATTGACATTGTTTGTAATTGACTTTGAGGATCAAAACCAAAAAGGAACTATTGGGACTTCTCAATACATTAGAATATACCATACATTTTTAGATAAGAAGCTTTTATCCATGAAATCTTATTTGCAGACGTTTTGCATTTGGGGAAATTAGCTATTGTGATCCATTTTGAGATACGCGCTCATTCATTGACTGCAATCCATCAGACACACTGACTGTGGGTGAAATGACATTGTTTCAACGAGAAATAACTTTTGGGCATATCGCCTGGTTAACCCCAATACTGATAGTTCACAAAGTAAAATAACTCCTTTCAGTGATCAGCTCCATTCAAGGAACACAAACTTTGTTCTCCACAAACAAGGATTGTATCATGTCTTTATCACTTAGTTACCTCTATTGATGGGACTTCTCTAAAACAGAGGCAATAATGTTCTGAACCTGAGAGGGCTCCACTGGATCGGTTACCACTAGTGAGGGAACCCCCCTATTCAAGTGACAATAATATTGTCCTGATTCCAAGGGTGTCCAAACCAAGAAAGTTACATATGCTCAATGAGACTAGGGTGAGAGACTGCTTAATACAGGGGAAAAGTGTATCCACTTATCCAGCTTTTTTAAGAATTATATCAGGGTATTCTGTATTTAGCGTAAATAATAGGTGCGGTTGTATACACCATGGTAAAAGGCATTTCCCATGTTAACAAAGCTGTGGTAAATTTTAACGTGAGTTTAGTTTACCATGGTAACATGTGGTTAAATGTGAATTAATTGCCAATCATTTAGATTTAATTTTACAGTTCAGCTTCATCCCACTGTTCGATTACATGCCAGGAATAGAACATATTCTTGGGAAATATTGTTCCCACATCTAGCCCAACATACCAGTTCAAAATTTTGCCTTAAATTTTCCCCGTTACTTTTGTCGTAACGTGAAACCTGGTCCCATGTCAACATTGATTTTTCTCTCAACAGCACAAAAAAAATCCTTTAAAAAAGCAAATTTTTCCAGTTTCATGTTGGTGTCAAATGAAGAAACCTGATCATGATTAGCTCTTTCACCTTGGGTATCTAGAAACCCCAGCTATTTACCATGTTAAATGTCATGGGCGGTTTCTTTCTTCTTTTTGATATAACCATGAATATTTGCGATCGTAAATTTATCTCGGGAAAGTCCGGTCACACGCATCACTCCAATTTCTTACGTTAAAAGGGTAAATTACCATGGTAAAAGTGTCTCTTGTAACTGCACCTAATCTATTTAAGTTCATAAGACAAAAATTACATAAGTTCTTACACGTGTCGTATTTCTTTTTCTTCATCCTTCTTCTTTTTCGCAACTTCTTTTTCCTGGATTTTCTTTCTGATAAAATAAGTCGGAAATGCAGTAGTTATGAGAGTTCCTCTGATGAAATCGCCCATGGAATACAAGATTACAAGCAAAAACACATAATCATGTTAGGGTAATAATAATAATACGAAGTGAACGAACTCACATTCTTATATCCTTTGGAGAGATCATTCGCTTTACAGCGGCAAATTTTCTTGTCTTTTTTGCCTTACCCTGAGTAATTAAATGATCTGTTAAGCGGACAACTTTGAAATAAAGCTCAAAGAAAGAGACGCATTTCTTACCATAATTCTTGCAAACAAAATGGCGACAATGTGGATAATGGCAACCGAGTGACGCCTGGGCTCTAACACTATAGGAATCATATATGAAGATTCTTCCGCCTTGTTGGGAACCACCGCTGAGTCGTAAGTTCCGTATCGCTCGTCATCTTGTCATGTCAGCACCATTTTTCATAATCAAAGTACAATATAATAATCACATCTCCGATTGCATATAAAGAAAAACTAAATCGTTAGCCTTTTCATTTTTTTGAGGAGTCAAGTTAAGATGGCCTCTGGCAGAGGTAGTAGTTATCTAGGGAAGTCAACATTTGATCACAACAGATGGCTTGCAGAGTTCCGATCTTCAAAAAATTTTAAACAGCAAAGGATGGAAATTATGCAGCAAACACTCGAGGCTTGTAAAAACTTCAAGTATTCACTTGTAGATGGCACTGAGATTACTTTTGCAGATCATCAAAGTGTTTCAAGAGAAGCAAGGAAAACAGTCCTTCACGAGGAAGAGATTTTATGTAACCCAACTGAATTTGAAAGAGGTGCAAATCTTCGTGATAAGTGGAAAACTGACATAATTGTTGTGAACGCTGATTGTCTCGAGGAAGCAATACGGTTAAAGAATGAGGGTTATAATCCAGCTGTGTTAAACATGGCCTCATCAAGAAGACCAGGTCAGTGCAGCAAATGCATGTAATAGTTTATACATTGAAGTGGTGTCCGCCGAAATGGTAATAATTAATTAAAGTGATAAAAATGACATCATCATCTTTTAACAGGCTGCATTTTCACAAAGTGGTTTTCAACATGGCCCTTGTGAGTTAGTTAGTGTTATTTATCACAAAGAGTTAAATACAGGTGACCCTAGTTTGGAAATTCCAATTTTTGACCATTGCATGTCAATGAGTTAGACAGTTTGTAGATGGACAGGATCTTTTTTACTGTAGGTAATGTCGACCGATATATCCGTTGATATAGCGGTCGATATAGCGATCGACAGTAGGTCGACAGTCGGTCGATAGTCGGTCGATAGTCGGTCAACAGCCGGTCGATAGTCAGTCGAGCGTGGGATAGACTATCGGCCGAGCATCGGTCGATATTTCGACGACGCACCTCGACTTACTATCGGACATATGTCGGTGATATATTGGTCAACTGTCGGTGGTATATCGGTCAACTGTCGTTCGAATATCAGTCAAGTGTTAATATAGCAGGTGAGTTCAATGGCTTTCCTTTTGAGCAAAGACATCATTAATTACTGGTATCATGCGAAAAATGTCCAAAAATGCGAATTTTTCAAGAATCTCCATGTGTCAATGGGGGCAATCGGTTCATATTTCAGTAATTTTGCTCCAATTTCTTCTCCAGGGCTATTGATAATGGACTAAAAACTATACAGACCGACGAAACTCTCGACCGATATATCGATCGACTATCAGCTGACACTTGACCGATGTATCGAACTGCTATCTTCTGACTATCGACCAAGTGTCGACAAACCATCGACTGAGTGTCCACCAATTACTGACCGATACATTGGTCAAGTATCGACCAACTATCGGCGAAAAGTCAGCAAAGTGTCGGTGAACGAAAAGCTATATCGGCCGACACACATCTGGAACGACTATCGACCGACTATCAACCGCTATATCGACCGACTATCGACCGATTGTCAACCGAGTATCGACCGAGTGTCGACTGAGTGTCAACCGAGTGTCAACCGATCGTTGACTGCTATATCGACCGATATCTCAGTCGACACTACCTACAGTAAACAACATCCGATGGACAAGGTGTTATACAATAACAATGATATGTTGATAGTAATAACTTCTGGTTTTGTTTCACCATGCAGGTGGGGGATACTTATCTGGAGCTGGGGCACAAGAAGAAAACTTGTTCCGTCGAACAAATTATGTTCAACATTTAGCCGACCCGGACAATGAATTTGACCCTGAAAGAAAATGGTCGTACAGACTTCCAGAATTTTCATGTGTCTACTCCACGAATGTGTTCATCATACGAGCTGCAGAGGCAGAAGGTTATGCATTTCTTCGTAACCCAATTGCCATGTCATTTGTCGCTTTATCTGCGTACTGCAGTCCTGCTTTAACAAAAGACAAGCAAAGGCTCATTCCACAAGTTGCAGAAAATACAAAGCGAAAAATCCGCTGTATGTTAGCTACAGGACTGTATCATGATCATGACTCACTTGTTCTATCAGCACTTGGTTGTGGGGCATTTAGAAACCCACCACGTCACATGGCTGAGCTTTTTAAGGAAGTTCTTGAAGAAGACGAATTTGCCAACAAATACAAGCATATTTCATTTGCAATTATCAATGATCATAATGCAAGAAGAGAAGGAAATTATCAACCATTTAAAGAGGTTTTTAGTCAATAATAAACCTTAATGCAATAGGTATAATACCAACCTGAAAGCAAGGTAAAAAGACAAAGTGCATGCCCAGGTGGACACTCAGTCTCTGCAGTCACCACACAGTAGGTAAGTGAACCTCAGCATGTAAAAATATAACAATGATACATTTTAAAAAAAGATCAAATAACTTTTATTAAACACTCTGATTTTCAGTGATGATATGAAGGGCAAAAATGTTCAGCTGCCTACTGACTTCACTCATCTGAAAGCTAAGCAAATAGTTGAGTGATGTTTTTAAGCATGCAAATGCTTTTGTAGATTAAAACTTTTGTAGAAATATCAATTTCTGTTGAAAAGCAAGGTTGCTGGTAAGAGTATATACAGAAACTTGGCAAAATAATAATTTCTAATTAATTCCATTTATATTTAAACCTTTAACCTGTCCATATTTCACTTCAAAGATGTATAGTGGCTAATAATATGGAAACTGGTAATTCCACAAGATTAATATTATAATTCTCAATACTTGTTAACCCATTCGCTCCTGGAGATTTTGCCGAAAAACGCGTTTTGAAGCTAGTCGAGTGGTTTTCTGGTCACTGTCTTGCTATAAAGAGCTAAAACTTACCACAAACTGGTTTACAGGTCGAACACTTCGCGGCCTTCTGATCCAGATGCAAAATATCAGCTTGCGAAGTTCGGGCATGCGCAGAAAGCAAAATTTCGACATAGTTTTTGGGTTTAAAAGTGACACAGCGGTCTTGACTTTTACTTTTCGCTTTCTCTCCTCCCTTCTTTTTTTCCTTTTCTTGCCTCATTTTTTTTTTCGCTTGCTGGGCATTTAGTAGGCTTGATTTTGGTGGGAAGAGTTTTTAGGAAAGCTTTTAGGATCTTAGGATTAGGCGAAAGGAAAGGTAGGTGGGTAATGGAACGAGATTTTCAGGTCAATGTCACATGGTTTTTTGCTTGTTTCTCCGGTGCCCTTGACTAAATTGTGCTCATTCTGGTATGGTTTGAAAGATCTCTTCACTCTGCACAAGTTAGTGAAGAAAGTTGTCCTTGACCGTTAAAACTGATGACGTCACATCGGGTAAAAAGGACCTGGATCCGCACGGGCGGTTATGGGCGGTTCAGAGGCGAATGGGTTAATCTACTTGCAGATTAGTAAATAATCTGTAGGGTGTGCTGATTTCCACAATTAACTGTAGGCTCTTAGCCAATGAAAAGAAAGGTATTGCACACTGTCAATGTATTATGGCATGAAGTTTTAAGACTTTTTTATTTACACAATAACCCTAAATTCCGACTCTGATGGTAATTCCTATAACTAACCTAATGTTCACCTTTGATAATTTAAATACAATTATTATTCATTCAAAAAATTTCCCCAATTCTGATTGGCTAAAAGCACACGCATAATTCACCATAACCAGCAACTGATGACCAAATTTGGAAGAATTTTGCAATTAATGAACCAATGTCCACGTCAAAAGTGCAGCCTTCATGCAGGTTAATGCAACATTAACCGAGAAGACCTGGGGGCTAGGTTGAGTTGTTTTGGTTGTGAAAACAAAAATGGTGTACATTTCACTTGTTTCATATTAATAACTAGGCAAAATAATAGCTAAAACATGGCAAGAACAACAAGAAGACAACTCAAAGGGCAGCATCTGCTATTTGGAGAATATTTGCGGAGCTGAACGACCCTAAACGTGCACTATCAAAGATGAACTTAAAATCGATGGAGGTAAACTTGTTTTAGCTATGTTTTTAAACTAGGAATTATTTTGAATGAATAATAAAACAATTATTGAATTCTGCACTCGTGTAATCATGAAGAATAATGGAGATCTCGGAGGGTGTTATCGGCTGTCCTCCTACATTTATGAATGTGGAACAAACACAATAAATAAAGTCTAAAATAAACATATTTTCTTTTGCATTTGGTAAATGACACACTCTTCTGACACTCCAAAAAAAACTAACTGTTATTCTTGTGACCAAACAAACTGCAGTTTAGAAATAATGTTTGAGCTTGTTGCCAATTTACATTTTAAAACACTTCAACCAAAACGCTACAAAATACTGACAAACACTCCGGGAGTCAATACAGCACCAGAGGCACTTGCCTGCTTCAGGATTTGCTGTACAACATAGAGTATTGATACATGGCTTTCTTCATCAGGTATAAGGTATTACACACTAGTTACTTGGACTATAGATAATGATGTAAGTACATATTTAGTAAATAGCTCCATCACTTATTTCTGTGTGATATTCCCTCTTAAGCTGTACATTCATTTAACAAAAACCGACCATCTCTGGGTTGAGTTCCTAAGGCTGACTCAGCCCGAGGAACTAGAGATTTGCCTCATTAACACATCATCTATTGAACTGCAGGAGTCGTTATTTTCACGAGGTGAATGAGGCTCCACTTGTTCACTGGTAATAGATTTGTCATCACAGCTTTCTTCTACAGACAGGTGGGATTCTGACCTCAGTCTTCCATGCCTGTGTTCCGGGCACTATATATTGGCAAAAACAATCCACTTAGAATATGGAATTGTTACTCAACATACAACATACTGTTTGTATACATGTATGGCTGCATATTTTTAAGAATAATGATGTTAAAGATTATTTTGCTTGAAAGTAAACAACATGGAACAAAATTGATCACTGAGAAGCTCCTATCACACTACGGAATACCAATCATTCCTTTCAGGCCCACACATGGTGATTAAAATCATTTAAAATTATGCTTAAAAACATCACGCATATCATTGTAATATGGCATACTTACTTTCTGAAGATGATTAACAGCATCTTCTTTATCAGTTGACCAATCTGGGTGATTTGCAACAATTATGGTGCGCATCAATACATCTCCAAGTGTACCTGCGGCACTTCGTGCTTGGTCAAAGTACTCTTTTGTGAAGGCAATATCATAGTCCTTCTCATCGACTGTTGCACGCTGCAGTTCATTCACTGTTCTTCCTTTATTCTCATACTTGGCAAATTTAACAACCAGTGAGCCAGGATTAGTGTGACCTACCTGCCAAGTTAGACACTTGTGGTTATTAAAGACATTTAATAACATAACAAAAGAGATTGGTCAATTACCAATTTACTATTTGCTCATGGGTGAATGCCGATGAAAGCTACATGTAGCTTAAGCTCAGAGCAGTTTGCATCCCTTTCTACAGGACTATATTTTGTTTTCACCTTATAGTTATTGTCACTTGAGGTATTTTGTCTTAAATGAGACAAGTATACTAAAACTGTTTAAGATATCATAGTCTTTATAATCCACAATGAGATGGAGAATGCGACTTCATTTTATGCAGTAGAACATAATTGCCCATTCAGAGCCTTTATTTCTCTGGTTTAATCTTTGCTGCTCACCTGGTAAAAGAATTCACCAATTATCATTCTAATATCCTGAGGTGGCACCAGGTGAAGGACAACTTTACCATTACGCAAACAAAGAGGAAAATTCTGCAAAGATACAAAGATATCTGAGTTCTTCATTTTACTTAAAGAACCACCTTCCATTTTGAGACTTTCTGTTGTTCAACATTCAAATATGATTAGTTTGTTGCTCTTAAAGATGGCAGCAGATTAACAACATTGAATGAGGTTGAGTATTATGGAGAAGGAGGAGTTGTTACCACCTACTTAGTTATTCTGAGCGAAGAGGTGAATCAAGTTTACAATGTCATCGCGTGCAAAGTGTGAACACATCATGTGAACCTGCGCGTGGTCTTAGCCAACTGCAAAATTGNCAGTTTGCATCCCTTTCTACAGGACTATATTTTGTTTTCACCTTATAGTTATTGTCACTTGAGGTATTTTGTCTTAAATGAGACAAGTATACTAAAACTGTTTAAGATATCATAGTCTTTATAATCCACAATGAGATGGAGAATGCGACTTCATTTTATGCAGTAGAACATAATTGCCCATTCAGAGCCTTTATTTCTCTGGTTTAATCTTTGCTGCTCACCTGGTAAAAGAATTCACCAATTATCATTCTAATATCCTGAGGTGGCACCAGGTGAAGGACAACTTTACCATTACGCAAACAAAGAGGAAAATTCTGCAAAGATACAAAGATATCTGAGTTCTTCATTTTACTTAAAGAACCACCTTCCATTTTGAGACTTTCTGTTGTTCAACATTCAAATATGATTAGTTTGTTGCTCTTAAAGATGGCAGCAGATTAACAACATTGAATGAGGTTGAGTATTATGGAGAAGGAGGAGTTGTTACCACCTACTTAGTTATTCTGAGCGAAGAGGTGAATCAAGTTTACAATGTCATCGCGTGCAAAGTGTGAACACATCATGTGAACCTGCGCGTGGTCTTAGCCAACTGCAAAATTGCAAGGCCCATCCACAGGGGAACCTGAATGCTGTATTAGCTAATAAAATAAGATGTATTTACCTGTGTTCCTGTGTCTTTATGACCTGTTTTGGAAGGGATTTGAATGTGATCAGAGACAGTTAACATTGCCGGTATCAAATGTTTGCTTGTCTGGCGCATTGTATGCGACAGTTACGTCTCAAGTTAACTATTGACTCTCCTTAGGAGACAATCTCAGGTTTCAATATTATTGAGACATAACTGTCTCATCCTGCATCCTATGTATGACGCACCAGACAACCAAACACTTGATACTGATACTGGCAATTGTTAACCGACTCTGATCACGTTGAAATCCTTTCCAAAACGACTCATAAATAAAGACTCATGAAACACAGGTAAATAACAACTGATTAATTTATTAGCTGAATACCGTGTTTGGGTCCCCTGTGGCTCTTATGTCGCTTGGTGTCTGACAATGACATCATGCAGCGTTATGTAATGGAGCATTTTGTGTTTCCAGGCAACATAGACTTTGCTACCGATGACCAGGGTGCACTTTTATGTTTTATTGATGAAAGGCTGATGTGTTTGTAATTCATTGTCTGTGAAACAATGTTTACAATTGGTGAATCACCAGCAATTCCCCGTGCAAATGACACAGAACAGGAAGCACAACAAGTGGCTGGAAATCCTCACCGTGGAAGATTTTCCACCAAAACTCCTCTGGAGAACGCTGATTAAAATTCATTGGCAAGAGGATCGAAGAAGACAACCACCAAAATAGCACAGTGAAGGCAACGTCGTCAACACAGCAACCTGCACAAACATGTACAGAGGCAGTGACAACACACTACATACACTGTAAACAAAACTGATGAAGAGAGGGAACACCGACTGCCGACACTTCAAGAAGCGACAAGAAGATCAGGCAATGCTTGAAGTTTACATTCAAAATTATCTTCTTCAATGCAGTGATAGGCAGCAAGTCAGTTACATGATCTGTACAATGCACATCAAGAATATCTTTCCACCAGACTCTGGACACCAATCAGCCTTTATACACCTTGAGCAACAATGGGTTTTGCAGTAAGCTTTATTTTACAATGAACAGTTTAGAACACCGATAATGTGTGGCATGTATAGGGAAGCCTTACATTTGAAAACCAAATACTGGCTGTACAAATTTTCATTTACAATAATTTTCATGACATTTACTTCCCCAAAACCATCCCAAGTAAAATATATTATATATATATTATCTAAGTATACATAAACACAGCTGTGTCTTTTAAGTCACGCATAACAAAAATTTATTATTGCTGCATGGCCTTAAGCCTCCTTTTTTCAATCCTTCGAAAAGAACATCTGTATTTTGGATCTGGATCCTCACAATATTTGTGTGTGACATTGTGTCACCATGCAAGGAAAATTAATTCTTTTCCCCATAAGGGACAATTTAACAAGTCAGGGAATTTCAGTATAACTCAGGGAAAATTTAACTTTTATAAAGAAGTCAGAGGGAGGTGACATATTCCTGCATATTCACCAAAACATGTTCTAATGGCAGAATACTGTTTCAAGAAATGAAACAACAATCAGATATAGGGCTTCCTACAAGATCCAACCATTCTGCACATAATTAACATTCATGATAAATTGATGTAATAAATAGGTGGACTGCAGGATGGCTGTGATGTCTGTGATGGAAGTTTGGGGATTATTTTTTCCTGCACACAGATGACATATGAAGCAAAAGAACAAAAAGCACGAAACAGGACCAATAAGGGCAGATTTTCCCAGAACAGAAAACAAAGCAGTCCTTTGTTTTACATAATCTGTGTCTAATACACGAAGTTCTGACTGGAATTTGGAATTCATTAATATCTGGACAAATTGTCAATTCACTTGGTGAGTTAAAGTGGGTAGTACATTTGACTGTCAGTCTGAGAATTTACAAAACTATGCCTCTGGGCACCATGTCTCAACAAGCTCATGCACGTTGAGAATTGAAAAATGGATCACCTTCAATACTACTTATGTGTGGACATTTCACACAAATTGGTTCTTCCAGAAAAAATCCACACCTTCCCCCCGACAGATGGCACAGTTTTTTGACCCCCCCCCCCCCCAACTTCCACCTGAATTTCCAAAACTACTTGAGCCCGCCCTCCCCTCAGGATTTCCAAGTTCAAAGACCCCCCACAAATAACTGTTAACACTTTCATAAATGATTTGGTATTTTTTACAGGGATAAGTTTCAGTGCCAATGAGGGTACCACATATTCAATAATCATGAGTGATGATCACTTTCAAAATTATCCTCAACTGCATCCTTAATGACACAGCCTGGGACCAGTCTCCGCAGCGGGAGAAAAAGGCAAAAAACGGGATAAAATAGGAAAAATATCACACTGCTACATTTGTATTTTCTAGTTTAGTGTAAGTGATGATGTTTGCGCCTTACTGTTGCAAACAATAAGTTTATTAGTTGTCAAGTGTGATTAATAATAGTATGTACTACATTCAAGTGCAAACGCTCTCAGTAGTTCACTTAAAAAAAAAAATGAATATTTTTATCTCCAATTACAATGCATTTACTTGTTATTTTCACTGCAGTATTATCTCCTACCATTTCATCCACTCACTATTGATGACACATTTAAGATAGCATGGGTTAGCTGCATATTCGCCTGCAGCTATTCACTATCAGTTAAAATCACACCCATTTTCTATGACTTTAATTACACATGTAGGAGGGTTAAATGGTGTGAACACACATGGGACGTATGAAACATTGGCTACCCTTCCTTAACAACACCAACCCAATTTAAAACCCAGAAAATCCATCTTAATGACAGAGCACTGGGTTGAAATGTACTCCAACCAAAAGGAGATTAACTATGTCTCACCTTCCAATATTAGAGCCAGTGTTGAAACTCACCCTCCCAATCTACACAGTTTACTCCAATTCTCTCCCTCTTCCATCCCTGACATTTTATGGGCCTTCCCCTGAGCTTAATTGTGAGGTTCTGCGATACACATATTTCTAGTTAGTAGGTGACACTGGGTTGTTGTCGGGTCCTTCTCGAATAGCACGACCCTCCATGCACTCTTCTGAAGCCTTTCAAATTTTTCAGCCAGAGTAGATCCCACACTTCTACAGCAGATATCACAACAATCAGTGACATAAAAGCACTATGTAGATGGCACTGGCTGCATATAATGTTAGGGGGGATCTTAACTTGCTGAGAGCTGCCAGCTGCTTCATCACCATCTCATTAACATGTTCTTCAAATGTTGGACTACTCATGCTCATTCTTATGAAGGGGCATGTACCAACTTTTCTCAGTTATATTCCCCTAAATATATCTTTTGGTTTTTTACTTTTCAAGGACAAATGAAAAATATATAACACCCTGTATGTCATTTTCATGAGTAATACATGTATTTCAAAAAGTAAAACTTTCACTGACATACCTGATCTTTTAATCTGCTAAGAAGACTCAGTGTGGGATGAACAAAGTGGTTTGTAAAGAAGGCAAAGTCATCTTTGTATCTGTCACTCAAGAGACGTTTCAATCCCTCCTTCACAAAATGGCTATTTGTATATTCACACTGGTAATAAGGATAGAAACTTCTGGTAGTAGTACAGATACAGTCCTATGAGAGATTAATAATTATTATTAACTATTTAGAATTATTACAAGGACTAAATAAATTGTAAGATTACATAGTAATATTCTCAGACAATCAAAATAATTAATTGAAAAGTCAATTGAATTTCTCGTTTGGTGCTCTTAAAATAATGGTAATAGAACTGAGTGGAGTCTGCATACATACTGTCTGATTACTTATAGGCATGGCGAGGCATACTTTCCTATACTCAGTCCTATTAATTCTGAAATCAGGGCTGCTGATTATAGCCAATCAAATTATTGGCTAATTGAAAAACAATAAAAAAGATTCTAGCAGGAAATGCAACAACTGCAAATAAATCCACGCTGAGAAGGCAATATAATTAGCCTAATATTATTAATTCATATTTGGCTTTTTCCACTTTTCCATTTTTCTATGACAAGGTTATTGCAATTAGGTGTATGATTAACTAGCCAAAAAGTTTAACCACAGGTGGGCCAACAAATAAATGAGATTATTATTCATTCAAAATATTTCCCCGATTCTGATTGGCTAAAAGCACACGCATAATACACCATAACCAGGTAGGAATTATTTTGAATGAATAATAAAACAATTACTGAATTCGGCTTTCCTATCATATGAAGAATTATGGAGATCTCAGAGGGTGTTATCTGCCTCGGCCTACGGCCTCGACGGATAACACTCTCCTTAATCTCCATAATTCTTCATAAGATACTCAGCCTCATTCATTTATTGTTCAGTTAAGCTAGAGTTTGTATGGGAAATAAAACTTACTCCAGGAAAAAAGAATCAATAGAATATAAATATTTGTTGCTGGCTGACGACTTTTTCTTTCAAAGTTTTAGCGTGATTTGACAAAGATACCATCATCTAACCTGACAGTGTAATCATGTTCACTGATGGTATTTTTGCCCAGGGGTACTTCCAAGAGGGGTACCTTTTTCAGTCTTCAGTTATATGGGGGGTGGTAGGGATTTCACCAGTTGAAGCATATGAAAGGGTAGGTAAGTCTGTCATTTCTGTGTGTAAAAAGGCACATGTAGGCTGGCAAATCCATTTTATGGCTTTGAAAAATTCTGGTCTTGTGATTTATTGATATTTTAAAGACAGTCCATTAACAGCAGCTAAAAAGAATGCAAAGTTCTAAAAAGGGTAGGTGGTACCATTAATTTTGTCAATAGAAGGTATAGGAAAGGGGTACCTTTCTGTTTAAAATGATATATAAAAGAGTAAGAGGTTGGAACTCGAGACGGAGTCTCCCTTAAAGAAAAAAATATTGAGTAACTACCCCCCCTCCCTGGGGTATTTTTGCTACTCTCGTCAGAAGTTCCACTTTTTGTTCGGGTCATGACTGTGAAATCGTACGCCAACGATGGCTGGTTATGAAGGATTAGCTAGGGATTTGAGACAATTAGAAACCGATAAATATTTTGGATGAATATTAAATAACAGTAGTAAAGCTTACTTAAGCGTAAATACTTCTGACCAAAACGGAAAACTCCCTAAAAGTATTCATTTCGTTTTTGCTACCTTGTTTTGACCTATTTAAATGTCCCCAATCAAAATCGGCTCCTGATCCAATCCTAGTGAATCCTGGACAACAGCAATGTTTTGGCCAAGAAAAAGACAAACTGAGACTACTGGCTCCGGCTCCTGTAGTAAAATAGCACGTCACTTTACAAATGTATAAGTCCTTGTGGTTTCCATTGTCATTTTCACTTAAAGCGTTGAGTATAAACCTTTATAAAACAACAACCTATTAAGCATACTACCCTCCTGAAAGAAATTTATTTCATTTGTGGAGCGTGACTTACGTTCAAGCTTTGTTGAGCCATTCTATAATTCCCTTTAGGCTTTCAATGTTGCTTCACTGAAGCGTGCAGTATTCCGGAAGTACGTGTCGTGTTGATCCTCTGCGTCTGGCGACTATTCCATCGATCTAACCAGCCAGCAAACCGAGAATTCAACAAGACAACGCTATATTTTGATGCAAGGGTGAAAAAAGTGTTGTAGCTTCCACTGAAAAGCCAAATCATTGGCCAACAACGTTAACAGATCCTTTCTCGGTCGTTTCACTTTGCCACTTTGGCGCGTGTTTATTTCTTCTAATCACGTGATCGGCACTAGCATAGAGGGGCTGCTGAACAAGCGTAAAGTCATTTTTGCATCGCTTTCAGTTTCATAATGGTCGTGGTGCTTATGCAAATGTAATTGCAGAAAGGTAAACTTAACTTTCATTTTCTATTGCTGGCTGAAAGTACCCACACGTCACGCGCCTATACTATGCCTTGTACATTCAGTTCCGGTTTATTACCAAACTTCAATTCGTGAAATTTCGGCGGAGTGACGATTGCTTCAAGGCACCCTTGAACAAAAGAATCAAGGTAAGGAATAAGTTAATCTCGGATTCACTAAACTACCTTGTATTCCATGTAGGCTTAATCCCGGCTGAGGTCGAGAACCGTTTGGCAGCCGATACGGCCAAACATCGAATATGTAGTCTCTGGAGCAGCTAGTTCAACAATAGAAGTTCAGAAATTTTGTTGTAAATCAGTAGCCTGAACGTCATTCGATTGCTTCGAGTCGTTTTCTGCTCTCAGCCTCGAAGTAATCGGGTGAAATTCAGGCTAGTAAATCAGAAACTTTACCTATTTAGCTCTACAATTATTCTATAAAAATTCATTTAATTTTATTTGCACTGTATAAAAAATTTACACAGGAAGTTACTTCCTCCATTTCTGGAAATATCAATCTTGTCATGGACTTGCAGCAAGGATAAGGGAGTAGTCAGACAATCGTTTATTAATTTGGAATTTTTTTTTAAGCTGGCTCTTTGAGATTTCTTTTCCATTTTGAAACGATAAAGCATACTTATTCCGTTCTATTCAAAGGATTTTCTCTTTTTCAGATACAGTGATTACAATGTTTTCCGCGGAAAAACGGATCAATCAAAAGAAATCAAAACTTGTGTTTTCTCATTACTTCTCTTTTGTAACGTTGCTAAAAATATAACAAAAAGCTCCCTGGCACGTTGATGCCTAGTGGAAACAAAATAAATGATAAAATAGATCTTTGTCAGGAAGTGTTAAACGTTAAAGTTCAATAAACTTCTGTTTCCAAAAGGTTCCTGAATGCATTTCGCTGTTTTCATAAAATTTCGATAAACAATAAACTGACGAGATACTGATAGATTATTTAAAGTATCGGACCCTACAAAGCTCCTGAATTTAGAGAATTTCACAAGCTCTCGTTCCCTACGGCTTAACGTCTCACTACGCAGTACTGTTGATGGCCCATTTTACCCTTGTATGTGCAAGTCGTCTAATACAATAAGCAAATAGGGAGGAACCGGGTATGAGGAAAAGACAGGACAATCATCTCTACGTTTCCATTTACCTTATAGCAGGGGCACCCAACGACAATTTTCGGAAAATATCTGTTCGGAAGACAATTTGAGATCTAGAATTTTCGGAACGCTTGTTGTAAAACTTCTTGCTTGCCTGCCTCTCCTAGGATTTTCGAACATCTAAAAAATGGTATATTTGCCCATTTTTAACCGCTTTTTACCCTTAAAAGGTCACCTAGAATTTCCGGGAGCCTTTTTTCTGGCTGAAATTTTCGACAAGGTAAGTTTCGATCCCTATAATTTTCGAATCACTAGACTTTCAGCTAGGAAATCCGAACAGATGAAAAATTTTTAGGGGATAAAAATATGCCTAGATGTACCGTTTAAATACTAAAATACGTTTAACAATGCTACTTTTAGGTGGTTTTGATCTACATTCTCGTTGGGTGCCCCTGTTATAGGTTAGAAGGTTATCAACTCGGCTTCGGAAATCATGGGTACAGATCATGATGACGTTCGCTTGCTGCTGTCTCAAGAACTTAAAGATATCCGCTCTAAAATTGTTGAGGGAAAGCTGGTCCTTTTTGTTGGTGAACAGGCTTCAATTCTTGTCACTCCAGATCAGCTACGCCCCTCATTAGATGATTGGTGGCATCTTGTCAATCATTCTGAGGTAAGAGCTTAACCTATCACCGAATGAATGCATTTCTCATAAGTTCCAAATTCATTTTTCATGACCGCGCCTAAAACAAGAGAAGCCACAAGCACCGTGAACTGAATAATTGAGTTGCAGCCCAAGAAGGTATAAGGAGTAGTTTAATAAACTATTCGCCCCTGAGATGCCCGTAAACGCCCATGCGGATCAACATCCCTTCTACCGCTTGTGACGTCATTAGTTTTAATGGTCTAGGACAACTTGAGCAGAGTGAAGAGAACTTTCAAACCATGCTAGAATGAACACAATTCTGTCAAGAACACCGTAGAAAAAGGCAAAAAACCATATAACATTGACCTGAAAATTTCCATAAAAATCTTGTTCCACTACCCACCTAGCTATCCTTTCATCTTATCCTAAGACTTCTAGCTATCCTAAAAAATTTTTTTCATCGTCTTAATTGATTGTTGAGTAAGAGAGTGAGTACAAATTAAGATTGTTGTTGTTGTTGTCATCAAGCTTAGAAGGGAGTTTTTAGGACGGGCGGTGTAATCGCTTTTACAAGTTTCGCCTGTTCTTTGATTTGCGATCGCTTTTCGTTTATGTTTGTGGCTACTAACTGAGTGCCGTGTAAGAAGATCTCTTCTAATGATCTTTCTCATGGCGTTAGTATTATTTCGTATCTATAAGCAGAATGGTGTCAAGGAACTTTTGAATGCCGAAGAAAAGTATTTGGAAAACCTTCAGCAAGCACCATCACGCATTCACAATGCTCTTCGGAATGTTGGAAATTTTCCTTTCATCATTACAACCAACATGGACGAGCTCTTAGAACGTTTCTTGTGGAAGACAGGAAATGGTGGGGAGAAAATACGATTAGATCAGGTCAGTTGTACTTGGTTTTGTCGAGTCCTCAGGTTACGCACTTAGTGTTTACTATGTTCTCATTCACTTGTAGTTTGCATATTAGTAATCTGATCAATCTATTTGGTGGTTTCTCCGGAAAGTAATGAGTTTTTTTATGCCGTAGACATTCGAAATCTAGTCCATGTTTCCCTCAAAGATATAGGCCAGTTATAGTTTGCATACTACGATGCATGTCGGTGCACTGTCATGAAAGCTGTCACGGCAGTGCTGCTTCCTAGCTCTATCAGATCGTATAGTTGAGTATCTGTTTCACCAAAAAACTATCCAGCGACTTCTAAAACCCAGAGGTATGTTCCGAGGAGATCATCGTCTAGTTTGGCCGAGATAAGCGCGATTTTGCTCTCTCTCGGCTTCTGTCCCCTCCTCCCTCCCCATGTTTCTAAGTTACTGACCCCGCATGTATCCCGGTGAATGTTTTTGACGGAAGGAAGTTATTAGCGAGACCAGTTTCTCCACACTGAATTAAAAAATTTAAAAACTTCTCTGAAGAGCATACAACCCATGCTTAATGCTTTTCTTTAGATATCATGCCTTGCTCAATCCTGGCCAGATCTGCGTAGGCACTTGGTGGTCAAGTGCTTTGGCGATGGCGGTTTCAATGTCCGCATATTGGTAAGTTTTTCTAGCACTTGATTGAATTATTGCAGTCGTTCCATGACCTCCTCTCTTTCCTATCGGTTATTTTTAAATTTTTATAACGTCTCATAACGATTACAGAGCTACTCAAATGACTTCTTTACACTTGTAATGAGGGATCTCACGACACCAAATACAGCAGTGATTTGTTCTAAGTTCGTCATTTTCTAGCAACCATATTCCCATTGCAGTGTTACCTCCTATTAAATAGTCTCTATCTTGTTTTTTCTTCTTCTAGCCAAACAGTAAGAGATACTTCGAAGAGTTTTGTGGCACTCTTGAAAGCCCGGAAGTTGAATTTTTTCGCCAGGTTTTTAATGACGGATCCGTGCTGTTTCTTGGATGTGACCCGAACCGCGAGGAATACAAGAAAATCTTTCAGAAGTTTGCGGTCAATGCCAAGGTAATAACAACACTTGATCTAGTTGGCACGGATCGCAAACACATCCTATGCACAGAATCGGGCGCCCATAATTGATCCCAGATAGAATGCGATTCATGTAATTTTTTTACTTTAAAAAGCATAAACCACCTTCGAATTACGTTGTTGCGTTTAATTTAGGTAATCAGATCCGGATTTAAGGAAAATATTAACCAAAGAAATCTTGCATTCTGCCATGGCTATTATACTTGGAAAACGATGCTTTCAGTGCACCGGCTCGGATAATCTAACTGTTTACGAATCCAAACCTCCAGGAAAGAGAAGCGAAAGATTCCCAGTCTGGATTAAGTGTGGATACTAGGCAATACATTATTTTTATCTTTTTCGTATTTACAGATGAAGCATTACAAGTTCGAGACGTCTGGCGAGTCCGACTTAGAGAAAGATGGAAATCTTCTCACGTTGAAGGCAAATATACAGCCCTGGGAATTCGTACAGTTCTTGAGTACAGGGACCATACAAGAAGATATCCAACCTGGAAAGGTAATGAAGGGGCTGATAGTATTCCTTAATAGTCCACCTTATTGCTACTTGCTAGTGAAAGGTCGTATATTTTCTGTTCTCGGCGTTTAGGGCGTGGCAGGTACATTTTACTTTACACGTGTCATTTGTCTGTTTTTCATTTCCAAGGTTTATGAAAGATCGTATTTGCGCATCCAGCGAGAGGAATATCTCCAGCAACAACTTGCATTGGAAAAAATGGCGTCCGAAATAGTATTTCACACCATTTCTATCACAAATGCTCTTTCACCTGACGAGTTCTTCGAACAGGTGTCACGCCCCACCATTCAAAGCATATTTAAGCAAGATCCCTTTGGTAAGTTAACGTTTATTATGTGGACATAATTCACGCAGCACAAAATTACGAAACCACCTCGTAGAAACTCTCGTTGAACTGTATTTTGCGAGAATGATTACTTCATTATGCTTCCTGATCATTGCAGGTGTTTACTCTGAAGAGAAAGTTCAGCGGACGATGGATGCCATGAAAGGAAGACGAGATAACCTTATTCAGGTATTATGTTGTGTTTCAAATCGAAGTGCAAATAATTCGTCATGCATCACGTGTCATTTTGCGCACGGCTCAAAAAAACGTGGTAGGAGTGCCAAATAATGTTTCTCGGAAAACATGTTTTACTGAAACTTTTTTCCTGCTGTGCCAGACAATGTTACTACCCACCGACTAGCAGTGGTTGACGCAGTTGTCAGCCAATCAGGCTGGACTAGAACTACTTAAATCAGTACTCGACCTCAAGATGGATGGACAGTCAGTTTAATCTCTACCGAGCGTCCGTTACTCCGTAATAGCTTGACTCAGTTTTCGCAAAAAGTTGTGGGAAAGTTATGGTATAGCAGCATCTTCTCATTCACATGGGCTGCTGTCGGTGACTGAAACCTGCTGCGAAGTCCCGGCTTTGACCTTAGTATGTCTACTATCCAATCAGGTTGCTAACTGAACTGTCTTTTTCTTGCAGCTAATTGATGGATCCCGCGAAATTAGTATCACAGCCTTGTTCTTTTACCACGGTGTGAAAAAAGAGATAGAATTATGGAAAGAGGCAGAAAAATTACCCTCCTCGTCTGAAGATCAAAAGAAAAAGCTGCAGAAATGCAGAATATCAATCAGTAAATACGCAAAGGCCATATTACGTTGTAAATCTTTGTTGAGGAGTAACAGTTCTTTAGAGATTCGCATTGTGGGTGATCAGGGTGCGTATAACGTGCAAGAGGTGGAAAAAGAAACGTTCGCTCTTATTCGTCTGAAAGGTTTGTTTAACAACGCTATAACATTTCATGGTTAGAATTTCTTTCACAACATATTTTACACATATTGCAGCGAAAAAAACATAATCAGTAATATATTCTCGGTTTTTTTTCCTTGACGGACCTTGTGGGAAAAGTGACGTTTGCTTCCCTGTGTTTGTTAGGTGGCCAAGATGAAGCGGTTTGTTATGCAGAAACGGCTACTTCTCCAGACGACCGAAAGTTCGCAAATCACCTCATAAATATCAACGGAGACGTAGTGTTAAACAAGCGAAAAGTCTACGAGAGAAGCCGAGCTAATGCCTGGAATAACGAAGATTCTATACTAAAGCTGGCAACTGCGATCATGAAAGAGAGCTCAGAGATGAAGAAACGCTTTGGTATTGACGCAATTGACGTAAGCAGTATACCAGAGGTTTTAGAGTAAATGAACCTCACATAAACTCACTAGAAATTTGCTTAGTCTCGGCGCTCTTCAATTGCATGGATTCTTGTAAAATGACAACAGTTGCATGCAACAACAACAACAGCGACAACCAACCATTTTATTTTTCCAACTTAAAAACAGCATAAATTAAAATAGATAAGGCAAAAGAAAAAAATACCCAGAGTAGCAAAAAACTAAAGGAGCTGAGTAGTTACGATGTATAGGGTTGTGACACAAAAGATTAAGAGAAAGAATATCTTAAATTTAGAACTAAAAAACAGTAATGAAAAAGAAATAAATTAATTTAATTAAAATATAATAGAACAACATAAAACAACAACAAACACAAACAAATCGGTACCAGAGAATTATAAAGTTTACTTTAACAATTAACTTGCTTGTTGAGTCACACAGTATTAAAGGCTGATTAGGTTTATTGCCTTAGTTGTCGTTATCACAAGACAAATAAATCAATAAATAACGCGACTAAAAAATCAGCACCGTATGATATTGTTTCCTCATTAACAGTGTTTAATATGAGCGGTGCAAGGAGCCACGTCAGCCACAGGATCATTCATGCAAAATGCCAGCTTCAGTTACCAACGCGTTTTCTGCTTTTTGAGGTTATTCGCCTACAGGAGCTTCAAATGTTATACGTTTTTGAAGCTTTTAATAGGTTTGCTGTGTATTCAATGGATAGGTGGACGATTTAAAAGCCCTGGAGACGCTAACCCGTATTAGTCAGAAGGTGCGAAGTCAACTCGATCCAGGCTACCTCGAGCCGCTTGGTGAAGGCAGCTTTGGTCAGGTGTATCGAGCCAAAAAGAATGGACGACAAGTGGCTGTTAAGATTCTGAAAGAAGTAGACAAAGATAAAGTCAAGTACTTTGAACGAGAAGTGGACACGCTGAGGTCGGTTAATTTGTTTAAAATAAACGCAACGAATTATATTCATGATTATGATTTTCAATAAGGTTTTTAGGAGAGCAACATGTATGATGTTGGATGATGTTGCTGCTAGCACATTGCAACGTTTTGGCGAATTCCTACTAGCATTACTAAATAATTTGTTAGTTAGAAACCTCAGTTTGAGATCTAGATCATGCGCACAATTATAATTGAAATCCCTTTAGCCGCTCACGTCAAAGGTATTTAAAAAAGGGCGATTTGCTTATGAAAGGTTCTCCCCGGCCGCTGTTAAATGAGTTATGATATCTAATATTATGCTGGTCTGCAGGGAGGCAAGGCACCCCAAAATCGTGGAAGTGATTGAATGCATCACCATCCAGAATCAGCTTGCAATTGTAATGGAATTCATGGCGGGAGGCAATCTTAAAGTTTTCCTTGGTAAGGGTAAACGAGGACAGGGAAAGGAATTTACACTCAGATTCATCGAAGATATCGGCTCAGCTGTTGAACATCTACATTCACAGGGTTTCACTCATAGAGACATCAAGCCCGAGAACATTTTTGTAAGTAAAAGTTCGTTTGGTTTGTATATTTTAAAAGGACTATTTTTAGGTTTATTTATTTCTGTACTATTTAAATATATTATATCTACAAAATTTTTCACAATATGGGGAACATAATACAGACGTGGTCAACAAAAACTTTGTTAGCAAATGCGGTTATTATCTAAAAACATTTAGACATGCACAGCGATTTTTACTAGTTTCATCCGTCGTAGATTATATGATGCTGACATGCATAATCATAGTTTTAAAAAATGTGGCATGGTCCAATGCGCTCTGAGGTGTATAGCACTCTTTTAAGTAAGCCGCCAAGAATTACACTAAGGACTTGATTGGGTGTTGTTAGCTTTATACTGTGGCGTTTAATGCTTGATATTTGGGCTTTGATACAGCTAACAGCTGATCTCACTCCTTTAAGGCTAGCTTAAACATAGNAGCACTCTTTTAAGTAAGCCGCCAAGAATTACACTAAGGACTTGATTGGGTGTTGTTAGCTTTATACTGTGGCGTTTAATGCTTGATATTTGGGCTTTGATACAGCTAACAGCTGATCTCACTCCTTTAAGGCTAGCTTAAACATAGAAAGTTTTTTTTCAAACGTTAAAACTTTCATTTCCATTGTTGTGTAAATCATTTAGGTGTCAGGTGTCTCAGAACCATCCCGCTATGACAAAAGGTATTTTTATAAAAAGATCCCTTCGTCATTAACCCTTAGACAGGATACTGAGAATATGCATAACACCATAAAGATTGATAGTGAAATCTGTTTAAGGGTAACTTTTGTTGTATTAAGGTTATGCTTTCCCATAACTTCTAAGGGCCTGTTTACATGGAGGTGGGGGACCCCAGGTGGGTGAGGTAACCCGCTTAGGTGGAGTAACCCGCCTGTCTATACAATCTCTCATTTTAATGGGATCACGTTTACATGTTAGGTGGGGTAACCCGCCACATGTTACCTCACCTACCTGGGGTCTCCCACCTTCATGTAAACAGGCCCTAAGGTTTTGGTCGTTTTAAGGGTAAAGCCACTGAGACCCTTTTATGTCGTTGTTCCGGCCCATATCATCCTTCCTGAATGGTGATAAAAATACCACACCTCCACCGGGAACCGAACGTTCGCATTTATGGCCATTTATTAGCTCAGTTTGATCAACAAGACGTTTACAATTTAAATGTTTTTACACAAAAGGCTATTGCTCTTCTTGGTTGTGTGTTTGCTTGTCTTTTCATCCAGTTGTCTGAAGATCACAAATTGTTAAAGCTGGGTGACTTTGGTCTGGCACGAGCAACAGAGAGTACAAGGCAAACAAAAACACTGATTGGCTCTTGGCGTTATATGGCTCCAGAAGTCATGATTCCGGGGGGTCATTACTCCAAGAAAGCTGATGTTTACAGCTTTGGTGAGTTAAATAAAGTGTTTTCAGTGCGGGTTTTAATGGTTCCCGATGGTTCATCATGTTTAAAAATATATTTTCTTCACCATTTTCACATAGACCATAATGCACCTTATTTACCCCCAAAAGTTTTGCATAGTCATTGTCCTCGATTTCTCTCAGGGCTGCTGCAATACCCATGAGAAAATGGAAACAATGGTAACGCAAAATTGAGGGAATAACAAGGTGCATTATGGTTTATGTGAAAATGGTGATTTAGCTTATTTTATTTTATTAGGAGAGTGGATAAGTAAATTCGATTACATGATAACCTATCTTGTTGAGGATGATGCTAAAACTGAGAACGGGAAAATGAAAAATGGGAACAAAAAAAGAATTGGAAATGACGTTACTGATAGGGTTAGGGTTCAATTCCATTTTTTCATTTTCCCGTTTTAGTTCCTCCTTGTTGACTATCAGTTCGAATGCTCCATAGAACACTTTTTACCCCCAAATTTGCATAAGATTTTGTTCTTAAGTACTGTTGGGAATATGCAGCCTTTCCCAGGAGCATTGAAAAACGATAGTAAATACAAAATTTCGAGGGTAAAAAGAGTGCATTGTGGGGGATTCAGAAAAAAAATGATGGAGTAATTTTAACGAACGTAAGGCTTAATGCACTCTTTGTTTTATTATCAGGGTTGTGTTTGATTGAAGTGCTGAGTGGTAAGATCGTGTTTGCTGACATCCTTGAAGATAAAACAGTATACGACAAGAAGAAGGCCGGAGAAAACCCAGTCATCCCGGTAAAATGAAACTTCTTGTCCATACATGGAACGCCCCTAAATAAACAAAGAAAAGAATTTAAGGAAATTAACAAAGAAAAAACGACGTTTCAGGGCATATGGTAATTTGTTTTGACTAAGTGTTGGGCTTTGAAAATTGTCTAAAATGGACTTGAAAGAACATACAAGTAAACCTGACCTCTAAGCGTAAAATCCTACAAAATCCTCCTCTCTGAACAAATTAAATGATTAATTTAAAAGACAATACTTTGACGAATACGCCTGAGCCAACCACACACTCGTATTCCGTTAAAAACAGATCTGTACCATTCATCCCCTCATATTTCACTAAGAGCAATGTTCTAATTTAAGGTCCATTTTAGTCCTCTTTGGACAAAATTTGGAACATCTACCGCGTAATAAAAGTGAACAGGAGTGAGCCATAATTGGTTTTAATTAATTACTCCCACATCCAATTGAAATCTTGATTTAAAGTAAGAAAAGAAAAAAAATGGTGGTGTATTTCAACCTTGGATTGCTACCCACCCCCCACCCCCCTCCCCAAAAAAATAATAAAAACAACAACAACAACAACAACAATAATAATAATAATAATAATAATAATAATAATAATAATAATAGAAAAGATAAAAAGAGAACTTCGGCAAAAATATGACACAGTTTTCTCACTCAATCAATGTCACTTGTTGTCAGAAAATTAACCTGGAAGAGTTCGGAGAAGAACTGGCAGCAAAGCTAAGGACTATTGTCGAGGAATGTCTTAAGCCCGGAAGTCATCGACCGGAAATGAAGCTCGTTCTTAGTATATTACGGGGAGAAGTTACATCAAACAGGAATAAAGTGGAGCTGTACTGCGTAGGGACTGGTACAGGCACAACAGGTAACCTTATGAGTACAAAGTCAATTATTGCGTAGATTTCGCGTTTGAAAAATGGGAAAAAAAAATAATTGGAAATGACTTTACTGATAGGGCTAGGGTTCAAGTGACGTTCTGTTTCCATTTTTCATTTTACCGTTTCCCGTTTTAGTTCCTCCTTGTTGACTATCAGTTCTAATGCTCCATAGAACACTTTTTGCCCCCAAATTTGCATAAGATTTTGTTCTTAAGTACTGTTGGGAATATCTAGCCGTCCCAGGAGCATTGAAAAACGATAGTAAATGCAAAATTTCCAGGGCAAAAAGAGTGCATTGTGGGGGATTCGGAAAAAAAAGGATGGAGTAATTCTAACGAACGTAAGGCTTAATGGACTCTTTGTTTTTATCATCAGGGTTGTGTTTGATTGAAGTGCTGAGTGGTAAGATCGTGTTTGCTGACATCCTTGAAGATAAAACAGTATACGAAAAGAAAATGGCCGGAGAAAACCCAGTCATCCCGGTAAAATGAAATAATATATGGTCATATATGGATCGCCACTAAATAAACAAAGGAAAGAATTTAAGGAAATTAACAAAGAAAAAACGACGTTTCAGGGCATATGGTAATTTGTTTTGACTAAGTGTTAAGCTTTGAAAATTGTCTAAAATGGACTTGAAAGAACATACAAGTAAACCTGACCTCTTAGCATAAAATCCTGCAAAATCCTCCCCTCTGAACAAATTAAATGATTAATTTAAAAGACAATACTTTGACGAATACGCCTGAGCCAACCACACACTCGTATTCCGTTAAAAACAGAACTGTACCATTCATCCCCTTTTATTATATAAACACCAATGAAATACCAGGTGAGCTTTCGCGCGAAAACTTGATATCTTCACATGTGAACATAGCATGTTATCTTCACATGTGAAAATACTACCGTCCTCTTTGGACAAAATGTGGAACATCTACGGCGTAATAAAAGTGAACAGGAGTGAGCCATAATTGGTGTCGGGCCCTTAGTCGGGCCCTTGTTACGCCCTCTAGCCCATGCGCTTACTCCCACATCCAATTGAAATCTTGATTTAAAGTAAGAAAAGAAAATGGTGGTGTATTTCAACCTTGGATTGCTACTCACCCCCACCCCCTCCCCCCAAAATAATAATAATAATAATAATAATAATAATAATAATAATAATAATGCTAACTATTAAAATCCTATTTAATTTTAATTTAATTAATTCGCTTGAAAAAAAGAAAAAACTATTCATTCAAAACACTATTTACAATTCCTGTCGATTTAAAAAGCACTTAATTTAGCTTAGAAAGAGTTAATTTAATTTTATTATAATAATAATTATAATAATAATAATAATAATAATAATAGAAAAGATAAAAAGAGAACTTCGACAAAAATATGACACAGTTTTCTCACTCAATCAATGTCACTTGTTGTCAGAAAATTAACCTGGAAGAGTTCGGAGAAGAACTAGCAGCAAAGCTAAGGACTATTGTCGAGGAATGTCTTAAGCCCGAAAGTCATCGACCGGAAATGAAGGTCGTTCTTAGTATATTACGGGGAGAAGTTACATCAAACAGGAATAAAGTGGAGCTGTACTGCGTAGGGACTGGTACAGGCACAACAGGTAACCTTATGAGTACAAAGTCAATTATTGCGTAGATTTCGCGTTAGCCGCCAAGAATTACACTAAGGACTTGATTGGGTGTTGTTAGCTTTATACTGTGGCGTTTAATGCTTGATATTTGGGCTTTGATACAGCTAACAGCTGATCTCACTCCTTTAAGGCTAGCTTAAACATAGCAAGTTTTTTTTCAAACGTTAAAACTTTCATTTCTATTGTTGTGTAAATCATTTAGGTGTCAGGTCCCTCAGAACCATCCCGCTATGACAAAAGGTATTTTTATAAAAAGATCCCTTCGTCATTAACCCTTAGACAGGATACTGAGAATATGCATAACACCATAAAGATTGACAGTGAAATTTTTTTAAGGGTAACTTTTGTTGTATTAAGGTTATGTTTTCACATAACTTCTAAGGTTTTGGTCGTTTTAAGGGTAAAGCCACTGAGACCCTTTCATGTCGTTGTTTCCGGCCCATATCATCCTTGCTGAATGGTGATAAAAATGCCACACCTCCACCGGGAGCCCAACGTTCGCATTTATGGCCATTTATTAGCTCAGTTTGATCAACCAGACGTTTACAATTTAAAGGTTTTTACACAAAAGGCTATTGCTCTTCTTGGTTGTGTTTGCTTGTCTTTTCATCCAGTTGTCTGAAGATCAAAAATTGTTAAAGCTGGGAGACTTTGGTCTGGCGCGAGCAACAGAGGGTACAAGGCAAACAAAAACACTGATCGGCTCTTGGCGCTATATGGCTCCTGAAGTCATGACTTTGGGGGGTCATTACTCCAAGAAAGCTGATGTTTACAGCTTTGGTGAGTTAAATAAAGTGTTTTCAGTGCGGGGTTTAATGGTTCCCGATGGTTCATCATGTTTTAAAATATCTTTTCTTCACCGTTTACACATACACCTTGTTTACCCCCAATAGTTTTGCATGGCCATTGTCCTCGATTTCTCTCAGGACTACTGCATAACCCATGAGAAAATGGAAACTATGGTAACGCAAAATTGAGGGATTAACAAGAAGTATTATGGTCTATGTGAAAATGGTGATTTAGCTTATTTTATTTTATTAGGAGAGTGGATAAGTAAATTCGAAAACTTGTTGAGGATGATACTTAAACTGAGAACGGGAAAATGAAAAATGGGAAAAAAAAATAATTGGAAATGACTTTACTGATAGGGCTAGGGTTCAAGTGACGTTCTGTTTCC